ACGGCGGGGCTGAGGGGCCGTGGGTGCGCGGGTGACGGCGGGGCTGAGGGGCCGTGGGTGCGCGGGTGACGGCAGGGCTGAGGGCCGTGGGTGACGGCGGGGCTGTGGGGCTGTGGGTGCGTGGGTGACGGCGGAGCTGAGGGGCCGTGGGTGCGCGGGTGACGGCGGGGCTGAGGGCCGTGGGTGCATGGGTGACGGCGGGGCTGAGGGGCCGTGGGTGCGCGGGTGACGGCGGGGCTGAGGGGCCGTGGGTGTGCGGGTGACGGCGGGGCTGAGGGGCTGAGGGGCCATGGGTGACGGCCGTGCTGAGGGCCGTGGGTGCGTGGGTGACGGCGGGGCTGAGGGCCGTGGGTGCGCGGGTGACGGCGGGCTGAGGGGCTGAGGGGCCATGGGTGACAGCGGGGCTGAGGGCCGTGGGTGCGTGGGTGACGGCGGGGCTGTGGGGCCGTGGGTGCGCGGGTGATGGCGGGGCTGAGGGGCTGTGGGGCCGTGGGTGCGCGGGTGACGGCGGGGCTGAGGGGCTGAGGGCCGTGGGTGCGCGGGTGACGGTGGGGCTGAGGGGGCTGAGGGCCGTGGGTGACGGCGGGGCTGAGGGCCGTGAGTGCGTGGGTGACGGCGGGGCTGTGGGGCCGTGGGTGCGCGGGTGACGGCGGGGCTGAGGGGCTGAGGGCCGGGGTGCGCGGGTGACGGCAGGGCTGAGGGCCGCGGTACGGCGGGGCTGAGGGGCTGAGGGCCGTGGGTGCGCGGGTGACGGCGGGGCTGAGGGCCGTGGGTGACGGCGGGGCTGAGGGGCTGAGGGCCATGGGTGCGCGGGTGACGGCGGGGCTGAGGGCCGTGGGTGACGGCGGGGCTGAGGGGCCGTGGGTGACGGTGGGGCTGAGGGGCTGTGGGTGACGGCAGTGCTGAGGGGCTGGGGGGTATGGGTGACGGCAGGGCTGAGGGGCTGAGGGGCCATGGGTGACGGCAGGGCTGAGGGGCTGAGGGGCCGTGGGTGACGGCGGGGCTGAGGGGCCGTGGGTGACGGCGGGCTGAGGGGCTGAGGGCCGTGGGTGCGCGGGTGACGGCGGGGCTGAGGGGCTGAGGGGCCGTGGGTGACGGCGGGGCTGAGGGGCTGAGGGGCTGAGGGCCGCGGGTGACGGCGGGGCTGAGGGGCTGAGGGCCGCGGATGACGGCGGGGCTGAGGGGCTGAGGGCCGTGGGTGACGGCGGGCTGAGGGGCTGAGGGCCGCGGGTGACAGCGGGGCTGAGGGGCTGAGGGCCGCGGGTGACGGCGGGGCTGAAGGGCTGAGGGGCTGAGGGCCGTGGGTGCGCGGGTGACGGCGGGGCTGAGGGGCTGAGGGGCTGAGGGCCGTGGGTGCGCGGGTGACGGCGGGGCTGAGGGGCTGAGGGCCGCGGGTGACGGCGGGGCTGAGGGGCTGAGGGGCGGTGGGTGACGGCGGGGCTGAGGGGCTGAGGGGCTGAGGGCCGTGGGTGCGCGGGTGATGGCGGGGCTGAGGGGCTGAGGGCCGCGGGTGACGGCGGGGCTGAGGGGCTGAGGGGCCATGGGTGACGGCGGGGCTGAGGGGCTGAGGGGCCGTGGGTGACGGCGGGGCTGAGGGGCTGAGGGGCTGAGGGCCGTGGGTGACGGTGGGGCTGAGGACCGTGGGTGACGGCGGAGCTGAGGGGCTGAGGGGCTGAGGGGCCGTGGGTGACGGCGGGGCTGAGGGGCCGTGGGTGACGGCGGGGCTGAGGGGCTGCGGGGCTGAGGGCCGCGGGTGACGGCGGGGCTGAGGGGCTGAGGGCCGTGGGTGACGGCGGGGCTGAGGGGCTGAGGGGCTGAGGGCCGTGGGTGACGGTGGGGCTGAGGACCGTGGGTGACGGCGGAGCTGAGGGGCTGAGGGGCTGAGGGGCCGTGGGTGACGGCCGTGCTGAGGGCCGTGGGTGCGTGGGTGACGGCGGGGCTGAGGGCCGTGGGTGCGCGGGTGACGGCGGGGCTGAGGGGCTGAGGGGCCATGGGTGACAGCGGGGCTGAGGGCCGTGGGTGCGTGGGTGACGGCGGGGCTGTGGGGCCGTGGGTGCGCGGGTGATGGCGGGGCTGAGGGGCTGTGGGGCCGTGGGTGCGCGGGTGACGGCGGGGCTGAGGGGCTGAGGGCCGTGGGTGCGCGGGTGACGGTGGGGCTGAGGGGCTGAGGGGCCGTGGGTGACGGCGGGGCTGAGGGCCGTGAGTGCGTGGGTGACGGCGGGGCTGTGGGGCCGTGGGTGCGCGGGTGACGGCGGGGCTGAGGGGCTGAGGGCCGTGGGTGCGCGGGTGACGGCAGGGCTGAGGGCCGCGGGTGACGGCGGGGCTGAGGGGCTGAGGGCCGTGGGTGCGCGGGTGACGGCGGGGCTGAGGGCCGTGGGTGACGGCGGGGCTGAGGGGCTGAGGGCCATGGGTGCGCGGGTGACGGCGGGGCTGAGGGCCGTGGGTGACGGCGGGGCTGAGGGGCCGTGGGTGACGGTGGGGCTGAGGGGCTGTGGGTGACGGCAGTGCTGAGGGGCTGGGGGGTATGGGTGACGGCAGGGCTGAGGGGCTGAGGGGCCATGGGTGACGGCAGGGCTGAGGGGCTGAGGGGCCGTGGGTGACGGCGGGGCTGAGGGGCCGTGGGTGACGGCGGGGCTGAGGGGCTGAGGGCCGTGGGTGCGCGGGTGACGGCGGGGCTGAGGGGCTGAGGGGCCGTGGGTGACGGCGGGGCTGAGGGGCTGAGGGCTGAGGGCCGCGGGTGACGGCGGGGCTGAGGGGCTGAGGGCCGCGGATGACGGCGGGGCTGAGGGGCTGAGGGCCGTGGGTGACGGCGGGGCTGAGGGGCTGAGGGCCGCGGGTGACAGCGGGGCTGAGGGGCTGAGGGCCGCGGGTGACGGCGGGGCTGAAGGGCTGAGGGGCTGAGGGCCGTGGGTGCGCGGGTGACGGCGGGGCTGAGGGGCTGAGGGGCTGAGGGCCGTGGGTGCGCGGGTGACGGCGGGGCTGAGGGGCTGAGGGCCGCGGGTGACGGCGGGGCTGAGGGGCTGAGGGGCGGTGGGTGACGGCGGGGCTGAGGGGCTGAGGGGCTGAGGGCCGTGGGTGCGCGGGTGATGGCGGGGCTGAGGGGCTGAGGGCCGCGGGTGACGGCGGGGCTGAGGGGCTGAGGGGCCGTGGGTGACGGCGGGGCTGAGGGGCTGAGGGGCCGTGGGTGACGGCGGGGCTGAGGGGCTGAGGGGCTGAGGGCCGTGGGTGACGGTGGGGCTGAGGACCGTGGGTGACGGCGGAGCTGAGGGGCTGAGGGGCTGAGGGGCCGTGGGTGACGGCGGGGCTGAGGGGCCGTGGGTGACGGCGGGGCTGAGGGGCTGCGGGGCTGAGGGCCGCGGGTGACGGCGGGGCTGAGGGGCTGAGGGCCGTGGGTGCGCGGGTGACGGCGGGGCTGAGGGGCTGAGGGGCCGTGGGTGACGGCGGGGCTGAGGGGCTGAGGGGCTGAGGGCCGTGGGTGACGGTGGGGCTGAGGACCGTGGGTGACGGCGGAGCTGAGGGGCTGAGGGGCTGAGGGGCCGTGGGTGACGGCGGGGCTGAGGGGCCGTGGGTGACGGCGGGGCTGAGGGGCTGCGGGGCTGAGGGCCGCGGGTGACGGCGGGGCTGAGGGGCTGAGGGCCGTGGGTGCGCGGGTGACGGCGGGGCTGAGGGGGCTGAGGGGCCGTGGGTGACGGCGGGGCTGAGGGGCTGAGGGGCTGAGGGCCGTGGGTGACGGTGGGGCTGAGGACCGTGGGTGACGGCGGAGCTGAGGGGCTGAGGGGCTGAGGGGCCGTGGGTGACGGCGGGGCTGAGGGGCCGTGGGTGACGGCGGGGCTGAGGGGCTGCGGGGCTGAGGGCCGCGGGTGACGGCGGGGCTGAGGGGCTGAGGGCCGTGGGTGCGCGGGTGACGGCGGGGCTGAGGGGCTGAGGGGCTGAGGGGCGGTGGGTGACGGCGGGGCTGAGGGGCTGAGGGGCTGAGGGCCGTGGGTGCGCGGGTGACAGCGGGGCTGAGGGGCTGAGGGCCGCGGGTGACGGCGGGGCTGAGGGGCTGAGGGGCGGTGGGTGACGGCGGGGCTGAGGGGCTGAGGGCCGTGGGTGCTCGGGTGACGGCGGGGCTGAGGGGCTGAGGGCCGTGGGTGCGCCGGCAGCTGGGAAGGGAGCAGGGAATGTCCAGGGAATGCGGAGGATGTTGCGTCTCCAAACTCATATGGGCAGCCACAGACGGTGGGACACCGACACGCTCACCGCACCCCGCCACACCCAGACTCACACTTCCAGGCCCCTTCGCACACACGCCCCGACACCCCCACCCCCGTGACTCCACGCGGCGGGGCTGCAGCTGCCCAGCCAGCTCTGACGGGCACCGGGAGCTCCGGGCTTGAGGCTCGGGGAGGCAGCGGCGCCGCGGGGCGCACGGGGCAGGGCCAGGAGCCCGGGGGCCGCCGGGCCAGCTGGGGGCCGCGCAGGGGCAGGTCGGGGCCGCGCAGGGGCAGGTCGGGGCCGCGCAGGGGCAGGTCAGAGCCGGGCAGGGGCAGGTCAGAGCCGGGCAGGGGCAGGTCGGGGCCGCGCAGGGGCAGGACAGAGCCGCGCAGGGGCAGGTCGGGGCCGCGCAGGGGCAGGTCGGGGCCGCGCAGGGGCAGGACAGAGCCGCGCAGGGGCAGGTCGGGGCCGCGCAGGGGCAGGTCGGGGCCGCGCAGGGGCAGGTCAGAGCCGGGCAGGGGCAGGTCAGAGCCGGGCAGGGGCAGGTCGGGGCCGCGCAGGGGCAGGTCGGAGCCGGGCAGGGGCAGGTCGGGGCCGCGCAGGGGCAGGTCGGAGCCGGGCAGGGGCAGGTCGGGGCCGCGCAGGGGCAGGTCGGGGCCGGGCACCGAGCTCAGACCCGCTCCCGTCACGCAGGCGCTCGGCTCCCAGAGGACGGGACCAAGCTGCCGGGCAGCGGCTCCGGGGAGCCCGAGCCAGCCATGCCGCGGGGCGTCGCCAGCAGGGCGCAGCCCGGGGCCAAGCCGGAGGCGCCCCGGAGCGCGGCAGGGGCCGCCTGGGGACCCGCGCTGGCGGCGGCCCCTGAACTGGCAGGAGCCAGCGGGCGGGATGCGCCCCGCCGGGAGCAGGTAACCGGGGCCGCTGGCCGGGGCCGGGGCCGGGGCCGGGGCCGCTGGCCGGGGCCGGGGCTGGGCGGCGGGGAGCGGGGCAGGGCGCGGCGCGGGCGGCTGGTCAGCACCATGGAGAGAGGCGCCGCGCCCGCTCCCGGGCTCCCGGCCGCTGGACAGCTCCAGCCTGGAGCGCCGTGCCCGGCGCCGGGTCCCGCCGACCCGCTGGGTGCGGAGGGGCCGAGCCGGGTCAGCAGCTAGCCCGGGGAGGGAGCGGAGAGAGCTGGGAAAAGGCGGGGGACGGGCCCCCCTCGCCCCATAGCACCTAACGCCCCGGGCGCTACGGGAAGTCCCGCGGGGCTGCGCCCCGTCCCCCCCCGGCTCCGGCCGCTCGCCGGCGGCTTGTGCTCAGCCCCGCTTGCCGCGCCAGGGGCTCGAAGTTTCCGGGTTTCCCCCGCGCCTGGGGGCTCCGGCCCGGCGCCTCCGGGGCCCTCCGTCCGCCCGTGTCGCTCCCAAGGTCCGCGGGGCTCCTGGCGGGTGGCAGGCAGGGGCTGTGCCGAGCCGGATAGCTGGGGAGCGGCCCGCGGGGGCCGAGGCGAGCTGTCCCTGCCGGGCCGGGGGGACAGGCCATGCTCATGGGGGTGGGGGGCAGTGTCCCCTGGCTGGCGCCTGGCTCAGGGGCACTGGCCCAAAGAGCGCAGCTTAGACAGGAAGGAGCCAGGGGGCTAAGCTGGTGTCAGCGGCAGCTTCCCTGCGGGGCAGGTCTCACGTCTGGGCGCTTACCCTGGAGGCCCTTCCAGAGCCCCCGGGTCACAGCTGTGGGACCTGCCCCCACAACGGTACAGTCATATTCCCACTACTCTCTGGGTCTAGGACAGAGCAGGCTGCAGGTGCCACTGAGCTGCAGCCCTGAGCTGGGAGGGGGGGAGTTCCCCCATCCCCGGCCGTCCCAGGGGTGCCCCGGGTCCCTCCCCGGCTTGCACACTGCGCACAGACCTCTGCAGCCGGCAGCGGCCTTGAGCGGGGGTGTCAGCCTGGCCCTGCATTCAGCCTGGGATTCTCCCTGGGGCCTGAGGGAGGCAAGTGCCCAGCTGCCTTGGGCTTCCGCTGTGAGGGTTCCCTCCACTCGGTTCCCGGCGAGTGGTGGAAGGGGGCACACGCCGGGCCCGCAGGGATCGCTGTGATCAGTTAGCCTGGCCTCCTGCTTAGTAGGCCTGAGACCTGCCCCACATACCTCCGAGAGCTGGGCCTGAAGTAAAATATCCCGTCCTGACTTTAAAATGACCAGTGATGGAGGATCCACCAGCCCCCGGGGGAAAGGGTCCAATGGCTAATTACTCTCACCAGTAACAACCGGCATCTTATTTCCAGACTGAATTTGTCTAGCTTCATCTTCCAGCCACTGGGTCACGTTGTAGGGACTGAAGAGCCCGTTATCAAATAGTTGTTCCCCATGTTGGTCGTCAAGTCACCCCTTATCCTCCTCTTTGTGAAGCTAAAAGGTTATTTACTTGTTCCCATAAGATAAGAACTAGGGGCCACCAAATGAAATTCATGGGCAGCAGGTTTAAAACAAACAAAAGGAAGTTCTTCATTCAGCACAGAGTCAACCTGTGGAACTCCTTGCCTGAGGAGGTTGTGAAGGCTAGGACTATAACAGGGTTTAAAAGAGAACTGGTTACATTTATGGAGATTAAGTCCACTAATGGCTATTAGCCAGGATGGGTGAGGAATGGTGTCCCTAGCCTCTGTCTGTCAGAGGGTGGAGATGGATGGCAGGAGAGAGATCACTAGGTCCTTACCTGTTAGGTTCACTCCCTCTGGGGCACCTGGCACTGGCCACTGTCGGCAGACAAGATACTGGGCTGGAGGGACCTTTGGCCGGACCCAGGAGGGCCGTTTTATGTTCTTAAATAAATTGAGCTCCTGGAGTCTATCACCATGGGGCAGGTTTTCTAATCCTTTAACCATTCTTGTGGATCATCCCTGACCCCTTCCATTTATCACTGAACTCGAATTGTGGGCACCAGAACTGGACAGGGGATTGCAGCAGCGCTTGCATCCACGCAGAGGGAAAATAACCTCCCGGCTCCCACGCGAGAGTCCCTTGCTCATGCATCGCATGTGGCAACTCCCGGGGAGCCCATGTTCAGCGGATTGACCCCTGCCCCTTTTTCAGTCCCTGCTTCCCAGGAGAGAGGCCCCCAGGCTGTAAGCGCGGCCGGCGTTCCTTGGCCCTCGCTGTGTGTCTTTACCTGTGGCTGGAATAACACACGGATTGTTTGCTTGTACCCAGCTTTCCAGAGACCCCACCTGCTCCCCAGATTGCCAGGGCGCAGGTGTGTGCTAGGAACAGTGGGCTGTCCAAGCGCCCCCCCTTGTGGCCCTTCGGGCACACTGCTCTGGCCACCGCTTGGTTCTTGCAGTAGTTTACGCCCAGACCCACGAGCTGAGAACAAGCATCTCCCTTTGGATAAAAAGCGCTTTAGCCCCGCCAACCCAACCCTCCTCCTGGGGTGCTAATTCTGACAGGCCTCTCCTACATTCAGGAGTCCTTCCGCCCTCCTTCTGGAGCCAGGTTACTATGGAGGGCAGCTGTGGCTGTCCCCCACTCCAGGCTGTCCTAGGCAGGACTCCGGCCCTCCTGGTTGGCTGGGAGAGGGGCACCGTTCCCCGCCCTGCAGCACAAGGCTCCTGGTCCTGGGCTGTGCACGGAACAAGAGCCTGGGGTTTTCCCCAAACACTGGAGCTTGCCTCCTCTCTCCAAGGACCCTGCTTCTGACATAACCTGGGCCCTTGTGTACCTCACAACTCCCCAAAGCATACAGGGCCGGCCACGCAGCAGGGGCTGGCTGACCCCTCGTCCCTACACTCCTGCATGGGACAGGCCACCCTGGTACAGTGCTCGGGCAGGAGGCCCCACTGAAAAGCAGGCCAAATGTAGGGGGAATTTAGACACCACTGCAGCCAAGGCCCACGCTAGAACCCGCACACTCAGCACATGGCAGCAGCTGTTCTGAGCGAGCTGGTGAGATCAAAGCCCCACCAGGAAGCTTGTGAGCTGTCCACATTAGGTAGCTGTAGAGCATTTCTGTTCCCAGGCACCATCATCCCTCCTGGGCAAACGGGCAGGTCTGAGTTCTCCTTGGATCTCAGGCCAGAGGAAGAGACAAGGAAACACCAAACATGGCAGTAGCTCCATGTGTCTCCAGACATAACTACTTGCAGGTACAGGACCCAGTGGAGCACAAGCAGGAAATGAAAAGGGCCAAGGATACACGCACCTTAAAAATACAGTCAGGGCCCAGAGGCCCACCCAGGAAAATGAGGGGGATGCACTGTCCCTACAGAGTTTGCCCCAGTCTCCCCTGGAGAGCGGAGGGTGACAAGGTGTCGCGATGACCCGGGGAGTGCGGGCGAGCTTTTATATGACGGGACTTGCCCTGCAGCAGAGAAGGCAGGCCTTACGTGTAGGAAAGGGAGAACCCAGGAAACGGCACCCTTGCACTATACACAGCTGGGGCCTAAGGTACTGTGGTGATGGGGACGCAGACATACAGACCCGAGTTCAGCCGTGGGCAGGATTTCATAAACATTAACAGGGGAACTGGTGGCAGAAGAGTTAGAAACATACGTCAGGTCCAAATGCTTCTCTTCACAGCTCAAGGTATGGAAGGGGAGGTGTGACCACACCTGGGTGGCTAGGGATACCTCTCGTAGGAAGAGTAAGTGCAGGTGTGAAGCAAACAGACTGCAAGGCCCGCTGACCATCCAGTGGATGAAGATCCAGGAGACAGACCATTTCTATGGATTTGGGGTCACCACCCTCAGGCCCTGCCTTCCTAGGCCCTTTCCCATCTCATCACCACAGCGGGCAGCATTCCTGTGAGGCTCCATGGGCCGTGCACAGGTAGTCTTCCAGGAGGCCTCCAAGCTGTGGAGGGACAGTTGGGGTTCCTCGGCGTAGCAGCAATTCAGGATCATGACTCTGGTCACACAGAGCTCCGCTCATTCCCTGTGGCCAGTGAGTCATGCTGAGGGGATGTCCCAATGTATCCACCTTTTCCGTCCACCCCCCGGATCCCATCCCATGAGTTTGGCGCCCACCACGCAGGGCAGGGCGCACCTGAGCATTAGTACAAGGTGTGACGAAGTGGGACTGTTCTTAATGTTTCCTCTGAATAGTGTGGGGGTGCCTCAGTTTCCCCTAGGCAGTTCTTAAGTATCTAGGGGGTGGGGTAAGGGTGTATGATCATTGCAGAGCCCTAGAGGGCAGGTGTGTGCAGGAGTCTGGACACAGAGAATGGCCGACACCCTGTTTCCTGGCAACTGATGGCCTGGGCCCTTCCCCCCTGCAAGGTGAGAGCTGAAGGGTTGGAGAACAAAGGAATCAGGTGACCTCCTGGCCCGGGAAAGGAACAAAGCCCAGAGGAGGAGGGGCTGGAGGGAGTTTCAGTTTGGGGCTGGCTGGGACAGGGAGGGAAGTGCAGACGTGGTTGTCTGGCTCACTGCCCCCCAAAATGGACCCAGCTGAGGGGTCCCGTTCTCTGCACCTGCAAGCTCTGTTTTAGACCATGTTCCTGTCATCTAATAAACCTTCTGTTTTACTGGCTGGCTGAGAGTCACGTCTGACTGCAGAGTTGGGGTGCAGGACCCTCTGGCTTCCCCAGGAGCCCCGCCTGAGCGGACTCGCTGTGGGAAGCGCACGGAGGGGCAGAGGATGCTGAATGCTCCGAGGTCAGACCCAGGAAGGTGGAAGCTGTGTGAGCTGTGTGTCCTGAAGACAGGCTGCTCACAGAAAGGCGACTACCCCAGAGTCCTGACTGGCTTCATGGGGAGCAGTTCCAGAGCATCGCCCAGGGACTCCGTGACACAAGGTCATCGTAAGAGGACGTTTGGGCATGGCACGATTTCGGACCAGGCCCCGTAGGCCATGGTGAGACGACCAAACTCCTCTCTGTATTTCCGGGGGGCCTGTGCTGCCCACTCACGTAAGGGACGGATTTACTGCGTGGGGCCAGTGTAGATTTACGGGAGGAGGTGCTGGAATGGATTCAAACATCGTGTATGGATGGGACACACTCTGCCCTAGCGATACGACACTAGGCCAAGGGGCTAATTTCAATAGGGTTCAGATCAGGCCTCATGTGACGGGGGTAGGAGCGTGGAGAGAGGGGTCAGCATTGGGACTCCTGGCATAGCAGGGCCCTGCCGGAAGGTAATCTACATTCCCGGGCAGCCTCCAGCTGTTAGCACATTTACTAAGGAAGCGAAACTGGGTGAGAGGCAGCCAGGATAAAGAGAGAGAGCAAACACCTCGGAGGTGATGCCTGTACAGTGGGCTGGGGGCAGCTAAGTGGCTGATGGGTAATAATGAGCCAAGGCCTTGAGACTCTTCACATGGGCTAAGCGCACAGGAGAGGAAGCACAAAGCCCAGCAGGCCAGCATGAGCCCAGGGCCAGAGTGCGAGTAGCACAGTGAGAAAGGAGGCCAAGGCCAGGCCAATCAAGCAGACCTCTGCCGGCAGGGAGGAGGCCATACTGCAGAGAACCACACAAGTTTGCCCATCCGGCTCAAGTTCTTCTCCAGTGCCCGTCCCCATGGTATCAAGGGGCTAGTACAAGAAAGGCATTTCTGGGACTGACACAAAGCAATGGAAGGCAATCAAAGTGAGTCCAATTGCTGAGAGTACGAGTGACGGGAGAGATTTTCACAAGCACCTAAAGGGTTTAGGAGCACAAATCTCAGACTCTCCCTGGGCTTCATCTGGGTATTGAAGAGCATGGTCCCATTGAAAGTCACTTGTAAAAATCTCACGGTGTGTGAATAAAGCTCACTTCAAATCAGCAGAAAGTTCCAAACTTTTAACAGGTTTCAGAGTAACAGCCGTGTTAGTCTGTATTCGCAAAAAGAAAAGGAGTACTTGTGGCACCTTAGAGACTAACCAATTTATTTGAGCATGAGCTTTCGTGAGCTACAGCCCACTTCATCGGATGCATACTGTGGAAACTGCAGAAGACATTATATACACAGAGACCATGAAACAATACCTCCTCCCACCCCACTCTCCTGCTGGTAATAGCTTATCTAAACTGATCATCAAGTTGGGCCACACACACAGACACACAAACTCATTCTCCTGCTGGTAATAGCTCATCCAAAGTGACCACTCTCCCTACAATGTGCATGATAATCAAGGTGGGCCATTTCCAGCATAAATCCAAGTTTAACCAGAACGTCGGGGGGGAGGTGGTAGAAAAAAACAAGGGGAAAATAGGCTACCTTGCATAATGACTTAGCCACTCCCAGTCTCTATTTAAGCCTAAATTAATAGTATCCAATTTGCAAATGAATTCCAATTCAGCAGTTTCTCACTGGAGTCTGGATTTGAAGTTTTTTTTGTTGTAAGATAGCGACCTTCATGTCTGTGATTGCGTGACCAGAGAGATTGAAGTGTTCTCCGACTGGTTTATGAATGTTATAATTCTTGACATCTGATTTGTGTCCATTTATTCTTTTACGTAGAGACTGTCCAGTGTGACCAATGTAAATGGCAGAGGGGCATTGCTGGCACATGATGGCACATATCACATATCACATATATATCAATTTGCAAATTGGATACTATTAATTTAGGCTTAAATAGAGACTGGGAGTGGCTAAGTCATTATGCAAGGTAGCCTATTTCCCCTTGTTTTTTTCTACCACCCCCCCCCCCGACGTTCTGGTTAAACTTGGATTTATGCTGGAAATGGCCCACCTTGATTATCATGCACATTGTAAGGAGAGTGGTCAGTTTGGATGAGCTATTGCCAGTAGGAGAGTGAGTTTGTTGGGGGGGGGGGGGTGAGAAAACCTGGATTTGTGCTGGAAATGGCCCACCTTGATTATCATGCACATTGTAGGGAGAGTGGTCACTTTGGATGAGCTATTACCAGCAGGAGAGTGAGTTTTTGTGTGTGTGTGGCCCAACTTGATGATCGCTTTAGATAAGCTATTACCAGCAGGACAGTGGGGTGGGAGGAGGTATTGTTCCATGGTCTCTGTGTGTATATAATGTCTTCTGCAGTTTCCACGGTATGCATCCGATGAAGTGAGCTGTAGCTCACGAAAGCTCATGCTCAAATAAATTGGTTAGTCTCTAAGGTGCCACAAGTCCTCCTTTTCTTTTTGTGAAACTTTTAACAGCGGTGGTTTTCCATGGAGACTAAATGAGAGCATAAATACCCGTTTCTCCATCTCAGTTCAGCTATTATTGGCCAGGGGCCTGCACCATGCGGGTGCTGCACAGATCAGCCCCTGCCCTGTGGAGAGTTCACTGCTGGTTTTATTGCCTGCCTTAGAAAGGAGATGCCCAAAGCCAGTGTGGCATGCCCTGGGGAACCGGGGAAGAGCCCAGATCACAGAGCCAGGCCTTTGAGAACAGGTGCTGAGGCTGGTTTCTCTGTTGCTTTAACAGGTGCCGGTTGCCTTTGCCTTTCCCAGCCAATAGACACTCGCTGGTGCGATGGATGAAATGATGGAGCTGCGGACGGATGGGAATTCCCTGCTCAAGGCGGTGTGGCTAGGCAGACTCCGGCTGGCCAGGCTCTTGCTAGAAGGTGGGGCCTACATTAATGAAAGCAACGAGAAGGGAGAGACCGCTCTCATGGTGGCCTGCCTCACTAAACACGTGGATCAGCAGAGCACAGACAAAGCCCGGATGGTGAAGTATCTGCTGGATTATGGGGCTGACCCCAACATCCAGGACAAAGCCGGCAGAACAGCCCTGATGCATGCGTGCCTGCCTCAGAGGAGCTGGGAAAGAGGTCATTTCTCTGCTGCTGGAGAACGGAGCAGACCCGAGCCTAGAAGATCATTCTGGAGCCTCTGCTCTGGTTTATGCGGTCAATGCACATGACCAGGACGTGCTGAAACATCTCCTGAGAGCCTGCAGAGCTAAGGGGAAGGAGGTGATCATTATAACTATGGACAAGTCCTCTTCAGGTACCACGGCCACCCAACAATACCTTAACGTCCCGCCATCGCCAGAGCCAGGGGAGAGGCGGCGCCCGGGCGTGTGCATGACGCCTTCGGAGACCGAATTGAAAGTGCCCACTTCAGGGGCCTCAGCCGCTGCGAAGGAAGAGCCCTTCTTCCGCTTCCACCCCGCACATGCCAGCGGGTGCCAGCTGGCCCAGGCCCTTCACGAGCCCTGCTCTCCGACCAGGAAATTCTGCAACCCCAGAAGAGCCCGTCTGCCGCAGCTGAAGAGGCTGCAATCGGAACCCTGGGGCTTGGTTGCACCTTCTGTTCTTGCCTCCTCTGCCCATCTGGACGAGGCCAAGACGGTGCGTGCAGATGAGGAAATCATCCTGGGCATCAATGACTTGTCGCTCCGCAGAAAGGGTTCCTTACCCAGGAACGGCAGCAGGAAGGGTAGCGACTTGTCCCTCTTCCCTTTGGGGGATGACCAGGCTCTGAAGATCCCAGCAACTTCTGTGCCGGGATCAAGGAAACCATCCTATGACAAAACTCAGGCCCTTCCTCAGCGCGTAGCCAGGAGGGGCGCTGTCCCTGCTGAGCCAGAGAACCCCAGCTCCACCGGCTCGGGCTCCGCAGCCTGCAAAGACACCCTGCCTCGGAGAAGGCTGGGCACTGCGCATTACGATTCAGATTCACAGCTCTACTGTGACTCCAGCTCCATTCTGGCCGATGCGGGGAAGGTGCCTTTGGAGAGAAAACAGCTCACTAGTTCCCATTTGGCTAAGTCCAACAGCTCCTGGGAATCCCTGGACAGCATGTCCAGCACGTCTCCCGGCACCAGTCGCCGCAGGCCACCCAATTTGCTGGAAAGACGTGGCTCTGGGACACTCCTGCTCGATCACATTTCTCATACCCGACCAGTGTATTTGCCTCCTTTGAATGTAAACCCCAACCCGCCAATTCCCAACGTCGGCTCTTACAGCAAACCGGCTTCCCCGCTCGCTGGGGGCTTCAAACCCATAGTGGCTGCTGCTCCGAGTTCACCGAGAACGGGAGACTTGCGAACCAAGAAGAAGCTGCTTCGAAGACACTCGATGCAGGTTCAGCAGATGAAACAACTCTCCAATTTTGAGGAAATAGTGGCCCGTAGTTTGTATTTCAATGGATTTTCCATAAACACGCACAAGGCCCCCCGGGTGGAGCACAAGAGAGCAGGGTGTCCCTGCGGCTGACACCCCCCACTCCAGGAGGGGCAGGGCAGGGTCAGATCCCCACAGCCTTGCACCTTGCAGAGGTCTGGGCGCCGGGGCCAAGCCAGGAGCATTTTACAATCTCGTTGCCCAGCTGTGGGGACACCACCAGGTACAAACGGGGGGAATCGGCACCAAGTACTAAAAACGTTTCTCCACGAGTGCCCCAGGTCTGGGCTTGTTCCGCAGGATGGATCCGGTGAAGAGTTGATCATAGAGGAACCTAGAGTGTGAGACACACAAAAGAACATGATCCCCATTCATTCGTTCTCCAATTCTCTGTCCTTAATCTCTAGTCTTTCCCACCCCCATGGAAACAGTCCTGGGATTGCCAGTGCCCGTGGGGCTGGTGTACTTCTCAAGTGCCTACCAGAAACAGAGCAGGGCTTCCTGCTGCCAGGGGGAGGAAGAGCCCAGCACCCCTGACCCGCTGAATGTATTGACACCTGCCCTGAGCCGGAGAAGGGACAGGACTTCCAAGAAATCTTAGCACTTTAACAGGCCAGAGAATGGAGCAGATCCGCTCCTGGTGACACTCCAGTGCAAGCAACAGGACTGCACCAGGGGGGAAATCAGCCACTGAGGCTGCCAGGCCCCCCATTGCTTGGCGAGATGCTCTGCTGTGGGCACTGCGCTGCCTGGCAGGGAAGGCGGGCAGCATTCCCCATCTCTAGCCCGTGGGAAGAGCGGGGACTCGGCCAGGTCTTTTCTCGGGGGAGGGGACCCGGAGTGTGGAGCAGAGCAGGGCCCATGTCTCGGGCCAAGGGCTCGTGGGGAATTCAGCCCCGTGCTCTGCTCCTGGGAGGTGCTTGGCCATTTAAGTCACATGCTGCTACTGGCTCTGTTCCAATCAGGGAGGCTCAGAGAATTTCTACCCCATGGCCATCTGACCCCAGCCCCCAAAGGGCCCCCCCAACAGCACATAGCCCCCGCCCTCGAGAGGCTGTGGGGGAGCCCCTCGCTGGGTTCCCGGCCAGCTGCAGGTGGTGAGTGAGGGGCTGCAGGGTCAGCCCCCACCCGCTGCATCCATGGTGACATGGGCAAGGCCCTCACCCTTGGCTTCACTGCGGCTGCACCTGGGGCACAAAGGGGCCCCAAGCCCATTCAGCCCAGCATAGGGGGACCCTCTGGTGACAGCACAGCAGCTCCTGATCTCTCCCTGCTGAGCACAGCTGCCACAACAGGCCCTTGGGGCCACTGGCAGCAGCACAAATTGGCGCAGCCTTCAGGCTGCTCTAACTCATGATGTGGGACCAGCCTGTTTAAGGCCAGTCCAGGCCTGGGGGAGGGTAAAGATGCCTTGAGCCAACACCCCTCTGAGCTGCACTGTGCATTCTACACCTGCAGCCAAGGATCGGGGCATTTTACTGATCTAGCCACCCCCCCCATCCACTTCCAGAGTGGGGGCTGGGATTGGCGTCACATTGGTTTGGCAGTTACCTTCCCTGCACCAGAAGCCAAGGCTGGGCTCTTCATAGGGGAAGCCCTTGCCCCCAGCCCAAAAGCTGAGCTGGGAGGGTGGCAGGGACAGACCTGAGCTAGTGCAGATTGGGGCTGGAGCTGTAGTGATGCAGGGGGAGGGGCAGCCAGGGACAGCCCTACAAAATGAGTGCCCCAGCGAGCTGTCCACACGGCCTATTCCTAGCCTTCGTCTGGAGTGAGCAAACGTGGGTACATAGCTGTATGCGGTAGGGTCCGTGCAGCCTGCAGGGTGTCAGAGGACCCTGGGCCCCCATTCAGCTGCCGGCTCTGCACGGGCATCCCATTACAGGATTGGGGCCTAAATAGAGACCGACTGCAGCTGCTTTGTCAGGACAGCAAGGCCTGGGGCAGCTAACCCCATCTCAGCGCTCTGCACTCCCCCACTCCCAGAAGTGTTTCTCCCCATCTGGTACGGGGGTGGATATGGGTAGGCGAGTGGACTGGTTTGGCATGTAGGTGCTCAGCTAAACCCCACTCAGCCAGAACCTCTGCTGGAGGGGAAATCTCCTTCTAACCCTGGCGCCCACGGTTTGGATTGTTCATCTCCCTTAAACACGTGTCACGAGTTTACCCCAACCGAGGAGAACGGCCACAGGCTTAGCTCATGAATGCCTCAATATCCCAACTCCCGCTGCCAGCCCAGCCCAGCCGTACCTGGCACGTACCTCACTGCGACCTATGGCACTGTGTCCTTGTGTCATTGCCCAGGCCAGCCAAATTACGCGCTTCATTTAGTCCCCTCTTGCAGCTCTCCCGAGGATGCTCATACCTTCCCCAGTGCACTAGCTGTTCTCTAGGCTGTTGCAAAACCTTCCAAGGTTCCTGCCCAAAGCAGCCTTGAGCTGTGCTTTAAACTGCACAAGAACATTCTTTCAACGTGCATTTCAGATTTCAATACCCTCTTTAGATCGAAGGTGAGCTTACATTTTTAGAGCCTTAAGGTTTATACTTACTGTAAGTCAAGTGTCTTCTCTATGGAACTTGAGGCATATTCTCCCTGTTGTAATGAAGTGTCTGTTGAAATATATTTTAGATTGAGGATTTCAAGCCTACAGTTCGCCACTTCTGGTCATTCCTAGATATTACAATCTCTTTTTTTTTTTCTGACGGTGAACGTCCTTCGCAACTGATTTAGGACAATGGTGCCCTGCAGAACGCAGGTGGTATGTTTTGAGCTTCCTGCGCAATGTACATTGGATTGGAAATATGCCACGTTCTCCTTTAGCGTAACATACTGTGATATTGTTTGTTACATTTTAAAGCGTGCCTGTGCAGACAAAGATGTTTGAAGATACTGTGGGATAGTTTAGACTTTATTACCTGTCCTATTAATAAACAGGGTAACATTCCTCTGAACTGCACCACTCCTCCCCCGAGGTTATCAATGAAATGTGCCTGTGTAATGACACTGGTCCTGGCGGGACCCAACGGAGAGGGCCAATTCAGGACAAATTGCTTCAAGCCGGGCAGTGACAGCCCAAGGCTGGGGTTTCTGTGCACACCAAGGCAAACCAGACAGACAGACAGACAGAGAGGACTTTGGTCTCACCCCACTGGCTAACCACAAGTCGCACAAGCAGTTCCCTTAGACACTCCAGTTTCCCAGTATCCCCACCAGTGCCACTCGTTATGGGGACAAATGGTGATGAAAACCAATACCCCTGTCAAGGTTCCTTCCCCACTCTGAACTCTAGGGTACAGAGGTGGGGACCTGCATGAAAACCCCCTAAGCTTATTTTTACCAGCTTAGGTTAAAACTTCCCCAAGGTGCAAACTATTTTACCTTTTGCCCTTGGACTTGATTGCTGCCACCACCAAGCATCTAACAGATACATAACCAGGAAAGAGCCCGCTTGGAAACGTCTTTCCCCCCAAAATCCTCCCCAAACCCTACACCCCTTTCCTGGGGAAGGCTTGATAAAAATCCTCACCAATTTGCATAGGTGAACACAGACCCAAACCCTTGGATCTTAAGAACAAAGGAGCAGCAATCAGGTTCTTAAAAGAAGAATTTTAATTGAAGTAACAGAATCACCTCTGTAAAAATCAGGATGGTAAGTACCTTACAGGATAATCAGATTCAAAACATAGAGAATCCCTCTAGGCAAAACCTTAAGTTACAAAAAGACACAAAAACAGGAATATCCATTCCATTCAGCACAGCTTATTTTATCAGCCATGTTAGAGGGCTTATTCCTTCACCCGCTTCCTTCCCTGGTCCTTCTCGCATGAACAGAGAGCAACAATACCCAAAGTCCAAAGGTGCAAACAATTCGATGTTTATTGGGGTGAACTTCCAGCAAGCATGATTCCAGTTTCCTTCCTTAGTGTCCCCCTTCCCAGCTCTGACACCAGAGAGCCTTACACCTGTGTCCCTGTTCCCATTCCACCCCCCTTAGCAAAACATGATTCCATTTTCCCCACCCCCATTCCCTGTTCCCATTTCTGACCTCCCCACACCCACCCACTCACTTCCTGATTGACTGCAGACATTTTCCTGAAATTTAACTAACCAATCCTAACATATTGTAACATGATTATGTAACCAATTATATTCCACCACCTTAATTAGTTTACACCCAGCAAAATTAATTATACAGCAGACAGAAACAATCACAGAATCAGACAGAGATTATACAGACAAACAATAGCAGAGTGGGAACTATAATGACAAAACAATACAGAAGTGAGGATTTCTCATCCCAGCTATTGATAAGTGAGTTCTTGCCAGGCAGGATGCTATCAAACTAAGTTTCCTTTTACATCTTCTAGGCACTTCCCTTTCTCCGGAGGCGACAGGCATTATCAGGACAGGACTGTATTCCTAACAGCCCAATAGCACCTTATTTCAATGTGACTAGTTTGGAATGTGAGGAGGTGACCGGTCGCTTCCCAGCTTATGGCTGCCTCTGCTGCTTAGCCAGAGGCCTTAGCCTAAGAACAGGGCCTCAGACTGTCACAGTGAGAGAAGGCTCTTACACCGGCAGACAGTGATTTTGATTCTCTCTTTTATACCTCTAGAACTAGCCAAGTGATAAGAATACACCTAAAGTCTTAAAGTACAGGCCTTTGCAGACAGGCCTGAATATCTATATCCTAACAAGCCATTTAAAGAAATCAGAATCTAACGCATATCTAGCTAGATTACTTACTAAGTTCTAAGACTCCATTCCTGTTCTGTCCCCGGCAAAAGCATCACACAGACAGAGAGAGCCTTTGTTTCTCCCCCTTCCAGCTTTTGAAAGTATCTTGTCTCCTCATTGGTCATTGTGGTCAGGTGCCAGCAAGGTTATCCAAGCTTCTTAACCCTTTACAGGTGAAAGGGTTTTTCCTCTGGCCAGGAGGGATTTTAAAGGTGTTCACACTTCCCTTTATATTTATAACAAATATAAAGAAAGAAAAGAGGTTCTCTCAATCCCAAAGGACCAAGCCCCAGACCCAGGTCAATATACAAATCAGATCTTACCCACAAATCACGCTGCTGCCAATCGTTTAGAATCTAAAATCTAAAGGTTTACTCATAAAAGGAAACAGATAGCGATGAGAGCTAGGATTGGTTAAACGGAATCAATGACAAACAGTAATGGCAAAGTTCTTGGTTCAGGCTTGTAGCAGTGATGGAATAAGCTGCAGGTTCAAATCAAGTCTCTGGAGAACATCCCCAGCTGGGGTGGGTCCTTCAGTCCTTTGTGTAGAGCTTCCAACTGTAGCAAAGTCCCTCCAGAGGTAGGAAGCAGGATTGAAGACCACATGGAGGAGCTGCAGCAGCTTTGTGTAGTCTCTTGCCATGTGGTCTCTGCTTTTTGTCCCAAAGACAAGCTGCCCATCCCATGGCCTGGAAAAACCTCAGAGTTCTGTCCATAGGCAGGTCCCTGCATGCTTGGCTGAGTCCCCAGGTGTGTCTGCCTTCTCTCAATGGGTCAGGTGTGTAGCTGATGGTCCTTAATGGGCCATCCAGCAGGCTAGGCAGAGCTGACACCAGCTTGTCTGGGGTGTCACCCAGAAGCATAGCACAAGTTTGAGCTACAGACAGTACAGAGACAATACTTATAACTTTAAATACCAAAATGATACATGCATAGAGATAGCATAATCATAACCAGCCAACCTTAGACACCTTGTCTTAGACACCTTATTTGACCCCCTTTATACGAAGATTTGGTGCCACTACAGGACCTTGGTTGCAACCATGTTCTATACAGTCCCAGTTCAAGTCAATAACGTGACAGCCTGTAGGGCCAGTTAGCCACTGGTGGGCAGCGGGCACCTTCCCACCCAGCCACAGGAAATCAGCCCAGCGTTATTCAGTGGAACTCATCCTGCAGGACAGCTGGGAAGTTAAGGTCCCAAGCCTGCAAAGGAGAATTTTGTACCGAACTGAAACATTAGGTGGGCTTTAGAGTAACCCAGGGCAAATTCTGTTTTCAGAGTATATTAGCCACACTGTAATTTGTAACTAACACTCCTAACGCTTCCTCTCCTGTGAAGGTAGCAGGGGACCACTTCTGACCACAGGCAGCCAGATCCCTGGTTTTACACCCTGGTGCTTCCATCTAGAGTTGGCTGCAAAATTGGCATCAAGTTTTGCGCTCCTCTTTCTGACACTGGAGCTGCGACAGGCCCCGCTCCCCTAGCACCGCACTGGCAGGTTGGCTCAGTGCTCACGCCCAAGGCCAAGCATCACCTGCCCAGTCCCCAGGGCCCCTTCCCGCCCAACCGGGGGCTCTTCCCTCCCCACACGCCCCATCCCCCTGGCACCCAGCTGATCGAGCTGCACAGGATCAGCAAACGCCCCTGAGACTGTGAAGCCCCAGCTTTTCCCATAGCACTGGGGCGAGTGAGCAAAGGGCAAGCAGGTGAATAGCTCTGCTGTTGCAATACCCACTGGGTCGCTGCTGGGCCAGGCCCACCAGCCTGAAGGCCCTATCCAAAGCCAAGCCAAGTCGATGGGAGTCTTTCCTCTGACTTCCCGGGGGCTTGGCTCAGGCCTGCGGCCCTAAGGGAAGGGAGTGGAGACATCCCCTTCCTAAAACGGGCGGGTCCATGGCGCCGGGTGAGGGCTGTGGCTTGTCTCATCGGTTTGGTTCCTTGCCCCTCTACTAGGGTTCAAACTGAGCAGATGGTTTCCTTTAGCCCAAAGGCAGCCATGGACTACCTGGGTCCAGTTACAGATTCTAACCCCGTTCCCATTCCAGGGCAGAGACCCTCCACTGGGGTCTCCCCTTTGGCTGCTCAGGAATTCCCAGCAGCCCACCTCACACCCCCCCTCGCAGTGAAGGAGGGCAACATTTCCATGCAGGGGGAGTCATCCAGAGGCCCATTCACTCCTCTGGCAGATCACATTTGCTCCAGTGTCCTGCCATCGCCGGGCTGCAAAGGGCAGCAGGCCCCCAGGACAAACAGCAAGGTGTGCCAGCATCCCCTGGGGCCGGCCAAGCGAGAGCTGCCACGTTGCAGCCCAGCCTCTGGGAGAATGAAACTTGTGGGGCTCCCTTTCGGTTCTGGCTACTCACTGGCGCCTGGCCTTTGCCCCACTGGGGCATGAGCTATTCCAGTCAGAGGTGGACAGTTTCCAGAGAAGCGCCCGCATGCCCCATGTCCGGTTGGGCCCCTTGGGGCTGGAGAGCGGTGCTAGGCAGGGATCCGGCCCTGCTGGGAAGTGGAGGCTTCCTCAGAAAGGCTACCAGGGGAATTCCCACTGGATTTTCCACCGGGGAGTGATCCGACCCCACTGCCTCTTAGAGGGTGCATGGGGGGGGCATACATCTGATGAAGTGAGCTGTAGCTCACGAAAGCTCATGCTCAAATAAATTGGTTAGTCTCTAAGGTGCCACAAGTACTCCTTTTCCTTTTGCGAATACAGACTAACACGGCTGCACCTCTGAAACTGGTTGTGATGGATTCCCTGGGACTCAGGCTCCCACAGTCCCTCTGTGACGAAGCGGGACTGTTCTCAGTGTTTCCTCTGAATAGTGTGGGGGTGCCTCAGTTTCCCCTAGGCAGTTCTTAAGTATCTAGGGGGTGGGGTAAGGGTGTATGATCATTGCAGAGCCCTAGAGGGCAGGTGTGTGCAGGGGTCTGGACACAGAGAATGGCCGACACCCTGTTTCCTGGCAACTGATGGCCTGGGCCCTTCCCCCCTGCAAGGTGAGAGCTAAAGGGTTGGAGAACAAAGGAATCCAGAGACCTCCTGGCCCGGGAAAGGAACAAAGCCCAGAGGAGGAGGGGCTGGAGGGAGTTTCAGTTTGGGGCTGGCTGGGGACATGGAGTGAAGGGCAGACGTGGTTGTCTGGCTCACTGCCCCCCAAAATGGACCCAGCTGAGGGGTCCGGTTCTCTGCACCTACAAGCTCTGTGTTAGACCATGTTCCTGTCGTCTAATAAACCTTCTGTTTTACTGGCTGGCTGAGAGTCACGTCTGACTGCGAAGTTGGGGGGCAGGACCCTCTGGCTTCCCCAGGACCCCGCCTGAGCGGACTCGCTGGGGGAAGCGCACGGAGAGGCAGAGGATGCTGAATGCTCCGAGGTCAGACCCAGGAAGGGGGAAGCCGGGGGAGCTGTGTGTCCTGCAGACAGGCTGCTCCCCAGAGGAGACTCCCCAGAGTCCTGACTGGCTTAGTGGGGAGCTGGTCAGAGCATCGCCCGGGGACCCCTTGACACACCCTGCGCAGCCCCTGCCCCAGCCGGGACCCCCAGCTCCTGCCCTCTCCAGCCCCCGCCCCGCCCGGGGCCCCCTCGGCGGCCGCCGAGCCCCCCCAGCCCCGGCCCCAGGGCGCACGGCTGCGCGCTGGGCGGCCCGGAAGCGGCGCTCTCCGCCCGGCTCGGCTGCCACGTCTCGGCCGGCGGCGGCGATGGGCGGGCGGGCGCTGTGCTGGCTGCTCTGGCTGCTGCAGGCGGGCCGGGCCGGGGGCGCCGAGCTCACCTTCGAGCTGCCCGACAGCGCCCGGCAATGCTTCCACCAGCGGCTGCAGCGCGGCCTCAAGTTCACGCTGGACTTCCAGGTACCGGGGGCCCCGCTCGGCCCGGCTGGGGGGGGTGTCGGGGGGCCCCGCTCGGCCCGGCTGGGGGCGGGGGTGCCGGGGGGCCCCGCTCGGCCCGGCTGGGGAGGGGGCGGGGGTGCCGGGGGCCCCGCTCGGCCCGGCTGGGGAGGGGGCGGGGGGTGCCGGGGGGCCCCGCTCGGCCCGGCTGGGGGGGGCGGGGGGTGCCGGGGGGCCCCGCTCGGCCCGGCTCTGGGGGGGGGGGGGGTGCCGGGGGGCCCCGCTCGGCCCGGCTGGGGGTGCCGGGGGCCCCGCTCGGCCCGGCTGGGGTGCCGGGGGCCCGCTCGGCCCGGCTCTGGGGGGGCGGGGGTGCCGGGGCCCCTCGGCCCGGCTGGGGGTGCCGGGGCCCCCTCGGCCCGGCTCTGGGGGGCGGGGGGTGCCGGGGCCCCGCTCGGCCCGGCTGGGGGGGGGCGGGGGTGCCGGGGGCCCCGCTCGGCCCGGCTCTGGGGGGGCGGGGGTGCCGGGGGCCCCGCTCGGCCCGGCTGGGGGGGTGCCGGGGGCCCCGCTCGGCCCGGCTCTGGGGGGAGCGGGGGTGCCGGGGGCCCCGCTCGGCCCGGCTCTGGGGGGGGCGGGGGGTGCCGGGGGGCCCCGCTCGGCCCGGCTGGGGGTGCCGGGGGCCCCGCTCGGCCCGGCTCTGGGGGGGGGGGGAGTGCCGGGGGGCCCCGCTCGGCCCGGCTCTGGGGGGGGGCGGGGGGTGCCGGGGGGCCCCGCTCGGCCCGGCTCTGGGGGGGGCGGGGGGTGCCGGGGGGCCCCGCTCGGCCCGGCTGGGGGGGGTGCCAGGGGGCCCCGCTCGGCCCGGCTGTGGAGGGGGCGGGGGGTGCCGGGGGGCCCCGCTCGGCCCGGCTGGGGGGGGCGGGGGGTGCCGGGGGGCCCCGCTCGGCCCGGCTGGGGGGGAGCGGGGGGTGCCGGGGGGCCCCGCTCGGCCCGCACGAGGCACCGAACCCGAACACCGCGCTCCGGCTGGCCCTAGCTGGGGGAGCCGCGGTCGGAGCCAGGGGCGGGGCGGCTCGGGGTCCCCGCAGAGGGACCGGGCTCCGCTGCGGAGAAGCCCCAGGCACGGCCGGGCTCTCCCCGGGCCAGGTACCGCCGGCCCGGCTGCGCCCAGAGCCCCCGGCTGGCGCCTCCCTCCCGGGGCCCCGCGCCAGGGGCCGGGGCCGGAGCCTGCAGCACCAGGGAGAGCGGCTCAGCTCCGGCCCGGCCCGGCCCGGCCGCGGGGACCCGCTGCCTGGCTCCTCCCGCCGGCACCGGGCTGGAGCAGCCCCGGGTCGGCCCGCGCCGGGTGTCCCTGCCCGGTCTGGGGCAGCCTCGTGTCCTCCCTGCCGGTCCGGGGCTCCTGCCGGCGGCCAGCTCCGGCTGGTGACCGGGAAGGGAACAAATCCCGAGAGCCCCCGTTAAACTCCTCGGGCCTTTCACGCGGCCCAGCAGCGGGTGTGCGCCGCACACGGCCCGGCCCTGGCCCGCAGGGGAGGGGAGCGGCCCGGTGCCAGAGATCAGGGGCACTCGCCAGGCAGCCAGGTCCGGACTAGAGCCGAGCTTCCCTCCCACGCAACCGCCACTGGCCACCCTGCCTCAAAACGCGGGGATTTAAGGCTGCCGTTGAGAGCATTCCCGGGTCGCTGAAAAGCCTGATAAAGAAAAGGTCCCTGGGCCGGGCCATACTTTAAATAATGAGCATCCCAGCGTTTATTTCAAGACCGGCCGCAGAGCTCTGTGTAAAGGATCGGGATCCCTTTGAAGAACACACTTCTCAGCTCAGAGCTGCCAAGCCAGACAAGGGCTATTGGAATATTTCTAAAAGCTACAAAATCTCCCCCAGCTCCAGGGATTCAGGGGGGTCCTTCCAGTCCGGCTCCAGCACCAGCTAGGGACAGGTTTGCAAATACAGAAAAGGCATGACACAAAACCGGGGGCTGGAGCCAGAGGCCCCGGGGCCTGAGTGAGATACAGGGAGTGCCATGCTCTGCCTGGAGATCTCTGGAGACAGGCCCAGCCAGGGGTGAACAGGAGGGGAATTCCCCCTCCATGGCAGACATGCTTTGTTTCAATAGGTGATTTCAGGGGGGCATTACGATGTGGACTGCTACGTGGAAGATCCCAATGGCAAGACCCTTTACAAAGAAGCGAAGAAGCAGTACGACAGCTTTTCCCATCGAGCCGAAGCCGCAGGCATCTACACGTTTTGCTTCAGCAACGAGTTCTCCACTTTTTCACACAAAACCGTCTACTTTGACTTTCAAGTTGGAGACGAGCCCCCGATTCTCCCAGACATGAGCCACAGGGTCACCGCCTTGACACAGGTCTGTCGGGTTCCTGCTCGTGTCCGTTGCGTAGGAGTGGGGCAATTGCGTCACTCTCTCGTGTGGTGGAACAGTACAGGCCTTCTGGGGTTAGATGCCGGTAAAGCATGGCCGGGGTTGAGAAAGAAACTGTCAGGCCCGGGGGTGTCCTGGTCATGTGCACACGTTAGCACTCAGCTAAAAGCAGAACTTCCAGCCACAGGGCAACGGTACTGTGTGCAGGGCAATGCAATGCCTGTTCCAGCAGGCGGGAAGAATGCAGCTGGCTTAGAAAAAGGAAATGTACCAGAGTCTCAGGTAAAGGACAGGCCCAGTCCACACAATTCAGATCCGGATCAGAATTTTTCCTGAGCTGGGGGCCGGGCCAGAGGTCTTTGGGTCCACGTGTTGGCTTGGGCTTATCGCCAAGGAGAGAGAGAGGCATTGTGAGCCATGTACGTACACGCACACGCCTATATTGTCAAGAGTGGCTTTGGCTTTGGGCTACCTCCATTTCTCAGCCCCACACAGCTGGGCCTGATCAGCACCCGCAGCTCCCACTGACTCCAGCTGGAGAGCTCTGGGTGCGAAGCACCTCCAAACGCAGGCCCCAGGTTGGGCACCCAAAATCAGAGACCACTTTTGAAAACTTGGGCCTGCATGTAGAAGTAGGACGGTCTTTAGCCAAAGACTCGCTCCTCTGCCCCTCCTGTGCAGTCCTGTTGAGTCTTGCATGGCATGGTGCTGGCCCGTGAAGCCTCTGCCTCCCTCTGATGTGGGAGGATGGCATTTTACTCCCTCATCAGAATACAGATGTGTGGATTGTCCCAGCTGGGCCCAGCTGCGTGTAGTGATGCAGGTACAAAGGGGGGTGTGTTTGTTTCCCCAGATGGAATCTGCTTGTGTCACCATTCACGAAGCTTTAAATACAGTGATCGACTCCCAGACTCATTACCGGCTGCGGGAGGCTCAGGACCGGATCCGGGCTGAAGAGCTGAACAACCACGTCTCCTACTGGTCTGTGGGAGAGAGCATCCTCCTCCTCGTGGTCAGCGTCAGCCAAGTGATGCTGCTCAAGAGCTTCTTTACGGAGACGAGAGCCACCCCTGGGGCGGTCAGCACCTAGGAAGCCAGAGTCGGTCCTGTGCCAGAGGGTGGGGTGGGGTGGGGTGGGGTGGCGAGGCGGTATTGGGGGAGCTCATGGGTCACACAGTGGAGTGCTGCCGAGGGACTGTGAGTGGGGCCGGCCCGGCTCACCTGGACAGGGAGTAGACAGGGATTCACGGGACAGTCACCTAAGCAGCGGTTCTAATGGAGTGAAAGCTGTTAATAGCCAACACCCTCTCTCTGGCTGCCTCAGAGGGGCCCCGGGAAGCAATGGGTGTGCAAGGGTTGGGGCTCTCTGTGCAGCTGAGCTGTGACTTAGGACAGGGAGCATTAGCACCGGTGTCACTGTAATTCGTTGCATTGGTTTGACTCTCATTTGTAACCCTGTTGCATCTTCACTGCGAGGTGTAACCACAACATGCAGCCGGAATATCTACCCCCGAGCCACTTAGGGCCACCTGCTCCCAGCACAGAGCAGAGTCCCAGGCCAGCGTGGGGGAGTGTGTCACAAAGGGGCACCAGACGTGCCCTGGTGTACAGACAGCCTGAACTGCAGTAGTTCACTGAGCTGCAAACCGGGGCCACGACCGAGGTAAGAGTCAGAGCAACCCCACTCACCCCTATGGTGTGCCCAAACATCTGCTTATTGTCAGGAAGCCCCCTCAGCCCAGGGTCGCCAGAGTGCCAGGAACTTGCCCATAGCACACTACGTGAGCTGTGGCTCCTGCTGCTAACCGGAGAGGCTATAAACCTTACTCATTTTTTTAATGGAACCTGAAATTCTCCCATAATAACAGGACTCCAGGAGCTGGACTTTACAGAGAAGCACCAAATTCAGCTCAATAAAAGTGGCAGAAATTGGTAACTCTTGGCTCCCTCCAGGTTTGTTTGTGCTAAAAGGGATCATGTGGTCCCAGAGAGTCAGAGAGGTTAAGGCCAGAAGAGGCCATTCGATCACCTAGCCTGACCTCCTGTATAGCACTTGCCACCAGCACCGCATGCTAGCCCCACACCCGAAATGAGACCAACGTGTTACAGCCCATGGGAGACTGGGCTGTTACGTGCCACGGCAGAGAACAGGCAGGACTGCGGTGCACCAATGCCCAAGGCACCTGCAGTGGGTGGGAAACAAATGAATATGCCCAGATAATCCTGGCAAGTGACCCCCACCCACACGCAGCAGAGGGAGGTGAAAACCCCCCAGGGTCACTGCCAATCTGACCCTGGGAAAATCCCTTCCTGACCCCACACATGGTGATCAGTTACATCCTGAGCAGCTGACCACGAACCAGCCAGCCCAGCACCTGGGGGAAGGAGCGCTCGCGGCCACCCCAGAGCTGTGGACCTTCCTGTCCCATCACCCATCTCCTAGCATGGCTGTCTCTGATGCTCCATGCAGTCGATAGATCAGGCCCCACTCAGAGAAAGGCAAGTTAGAAACCAAACACACACCCAGTATTGTGCGTTGGAGTGCACAGGAGAGTCCCACCCTGGCTGCTGCAGGGATTGGCGGAAGCCCTGACGTGGGACCTTTGGGAACATGACGGAAACCAGAAGGGCAAATCAGGCATTGAGGGAGTTAGCCTTGGAACGGTTTCCCAAGGAGTGTGGTGCAGGCTCCATCACAGGCCATTTTTAAATCAAGATGGGAGGTTTTGCTCCAAGGTCTGCTCCTGAGGCAGGTCTCTGGCCTGTGCTATACACGGGGCAGCCTGCGGGCTCACACTGGTCCCTTCTGCCCTGCGCTCTGTGAATCTCGAGCTGCCGAGCCCCAACCTCCCCTCGTGGAACAGTCCAGAGGACCCTTCCCTAGCACAGCCCGTGGGGATGCCCTACTCTGCTCAGACAGCAAAGCCTCCTGGGCTAAAGTCCTGGTATTTCTTCAGAACACAAAGCAGGAGCCCCATGGATCAGGCCTGCCACTGTCCCAGGAGAGGGGCCCTGACTTAACCACTACACTGAATACACCCCACGTTGCCAGCAACAGATACCGCAGGCTGTTGTGCAAGACCCTTTGCAATGCTAGTATTGGTCAGACAGTGCTTTGCACTAAACCACCCAGATGGGCGGGGTGGGGGGGATTAAGAATTGCAATGACCCTGCTCAGCCGGACTGACACCACTGGATGCAACCTTTGCCACTGCTCAATAAACCCATGAGACCGCAGTTTTCCTGCTCCACTGATTAGACATACTGTCCCCCGGGCGCTGGGCAGGGCAATACAGTAACAGCCAGTCACAGCGCCTCCTCTCCTCTCAGGGCACAGCTACTGGCCTGTCAGCCCATCCTTTGCTCACTGTTTGTAACACCCACGTTCTAGGAAGCCTTAAATAAAATGCATTTCCTACCGATTCCATCATCGTCCTTTGGCAGCACAACCGCTGTTCCTGCAGGCCCCCATCACCCTGCACCCCTTATGCTGGCCGCTGGAGCGCATTGCTCCGGGAACTGCAGGCCCCATCCTGCTCCCCTTCCCTCACCTGGCCCGAGCCCCATCGTGCTTGGCTCCAGGCACCAGATCCACAGCTGGGTTAAATCAGCATAATTCCCTTGACTACCCCACTGAAGCTGTGCTGAATAAATCAGCGGGCCTCTGGCCCCTGGCTTGAGCAGCGCTCCTTGGGGTTTGTGACAGTGTAAACGGCCGCAGAGCGGTGCATGACTGCGGCTGGGCAGCAGACGGAACCCATGGGATGGCTAGCTGGGCACGTCACTAGCCCAATTCTGCATGCCCTGGGCCCGCAGCTCACCCCCTGGCCTTGTGTGAACTCAGGTGCAGGAGCCTTTCCAAACGGGGCCCTACCTGGTTTGATACTCTCCTCCCCTGGCTACTACGGGAAAGTTTTATAACGCAACTAGCAAGCCTCCTGCCTCGTCAGTGTTCCCGCACGAAGGGTTTGGGCGCGGACCCTGCTCCACGGGAAAGCCTTCGGCAGCTGCCTTTGAACGCTGCCTGTGCAGGCAGCTCTCCTGCCCTATGGCAGCCTTCGCCCAAAGGGGCCATTGGAGGCCAGTGTCTCTTCGAGCTTCTGTCAAATGCTTGGAAGGGCTGAGTGACACCTACATGGCCTGTCCTAAGACATCACCAGTGGTCCAAGGTGGGCTGAGCCCTCCTGACTGTGGAAGAGATGTGCTGGGTGGGGGCAAACCCCTCCCGTCGGTGCGGTGCCACATGGCAGCAGGGAAGCCCAGAACATGGTAGGCTACTGGGAGGAAGGATCCCAGCATGGAGTGCAGAATGGGAAGTCCCCACTCTGGGCTCCATCTTGCTGCCTTTCTCCTGGAAAGGAGCCCCATTGATTTCAGGAGGCCCAGGGGTGCAGGTGCAGTTTTGGAGGAAGAGGCTCATATTGGGCTGTGACAGAGCTGGAATTTTTTGTGATATTTTTATGAGTCCTATGTGTGCCTCAGTTTCCCTTAAACTTTGCATGGCTATCCACCTGTGGGAGGATTGAGTTTGCTCACTGGGCAGGCTAAGAGATATGGGGAGAGGGTATAACCTAGCTGACTGAGCTGACCAACGGGGTCTTTAAAAAGGATTGGCTGCTGCTGACCCACAATAAAGGACTGAGAGGTGTGAGGGGGGAAATAAGGAACTGGCTTCTTAAAGGAGCCAGAGCTCTCATCCGGGAACCGAATAAGGAAGGCAGTCAGGGAGAGACGGAGCCTGAACTGGGCTTCACGGCAGCGGGGCTGGTGAAGTGCTGTGGGCTGGCCAGCATGGACCTTCATTTCTCTGTGCTGCCCGAAGGCCTCCCTAGGCTGTGTCCAGGTGACTATAACCTGACTGTTTTCACAGTCCCTGCAGCCGCTGGGCAAGGTGCTTAGTCCCTGCAGAGTGGGTGAGTCTCTGCCAGGCTGTCGCAGTTGGATTCGCTGGGCAGAGCTCACCCTGTGAAGCAAGAGGGCTGGAGCCCCAGAGGTTCAGTCTCCGGAGGTGGTGAGCGCATGTGGCTGACCCTGAAAACAGAGTGAGACCCCTCGGAGGTCTGACCCATCGAAGGGGTTCCCCCGAGAGACTGTTCCAAAGCTGGGGGCATAGCACCAACCCTGTGGATCTGTGACAACACCAAGGGACAAGCTGTAAGTAGCCAGGACATGCAGCTGCAGTTCAGCCTGGCCCAGCTACCCACACAACCTATTAAAGAAATTAACAGGCAGCAGGTTTAAAACAAACAGCAGGCAGTATTTCTTCACACAACGCACAGTCAACCTGTGGAACTCCTTGCCAGAGGATGTTGTGAAGGCCAAGACTATAACAGGGTTCAAAAAAGAACTAGATACGTTCATGGAGGATAGGTCCTGTGATGGGTTTGGTCACAGAGACCCCCTTGGGACTGTCACCTGATGTGCTGAGATTACCTCTGAGCCCATTTTTCCTGCCAGCTTGGGACTCCAGAGCCCTGCTTTGTTGAGCCAGACATGCCAGCCTGCTAGAAACACAGACCCAGGGTCTGGGCCACACCCCCAAAGCTGCAGGCTTTAAGTGAAAACAGCTCTGCAGGTTTCCTGCCTCCAGCACCCGGACACCCAGTTCCCAATGGGGTCCAAACCCCAAATAAATTCGTTTTACCCTGTATAAAGCTTACAGGGTAAACTCATAAATTGTTCGGCCTCTATAACACTGATAGAGAGATATGCACAGCTGTTTGCTCCCCCAGGTATTAATCACTTACTCTGGGTTAATTAATAAACAAAAGTGATGTTATTAAGCATAAAAAGTAGGATTTAAGTGGTTTCAAGTAGTAACAGACAGAACAAAGTAAGTCACCAAGCAAAAATAAAGCAAAAACACGCAAGTCTAAGCTGAATACATTAAGAAACTGATTTCAGGGAGGCAAGGGATGGGGCAGAGGCACCAGGAAGGAGGGTGGTTTACTTGCTAATCTCACCTCCTTGCACCCATCAGCCCTTCTGGGGAAGCAGCAGGCTACATGAGCCATGGCCGACCCATTCCCCTGCCCCAGCCCCGTCCCCATCTCTCCTCCCAGACCCTGCAGCAAGGTACTCCCCCCGCCCCATTCTGGCCGGGGGGCTATGCAGAGCTAATGGCCTGGGACTGGCTCTCCCCCCCCCCCCCCCAGCCTGGCCCTGCATCCTGTGTGGAGCGGGGGCAAGGAGGCCAGCAGCGGTGCAAGGACAAGGGGAGAGAGCGGGCGAAGCTGCTGATCCAGAAGCAAGGTCCTGCCTGCCGGCGTGTCTCCCAAGGACCCCGGGATTAGCTGGTCTCCAGCAGCGGGTACTGGCTGTGCCGGCCGGATGTGCAGCAAAGCCGGCTGGTGATGCACACGCTGCTCTGGCACCAGCTGGCCATGTTCCAGCCCCTCACCTGGGGGACAGGCCCTTCGGGGTCCATCCCAGGCGTAGAGTGAGACCCTGCTGGGTGCTGGGGACAGGGAACCGGGTCCAGAACCTCCCAGATCCAGGGCCAGTCCGTCCCAGCAAAGACCTCACTCCTGGCCACCCCGTGGGTCCTCCACTGCCCCAAATCCCACACTACAGATGGCAGCAACCCAGACAGCCTGCTCTCCCCTCCCCAGGATGGGCGCCTCGTGGCCTGCCCAGTGTGCAGATGGCTCTGACCCTGGAGCTGTCGCTGTGCACAGCTCCGGAGCCTGGAGAGCAGCGACCTTCAGTGAGAGCAGGGAGGCTCCAATTTCCAGGAGAACGAGCTCCCGGGATTAAGGGGTGGGCACAGAGCCCACGAGCTGGAGCCAAATGTCCTGGCAACCCCCGTGTCCATCTGGCCCCACCTGCCACCAACAGCAGGGCCAGCCCTCGGCTAGGGCCCATGCACGCCCAGCGGGGCACAGGGGAGGGTGGAACAGGGGATGGGGAGGCAGAGCCAGCACCCCACGCAGAGGA